TACGTACATACAGACGGAAAAAATAAGAAAGGTGCATTTTTTACGCATGCATTTTGTTTTCTTTTATTAGGAGGACCTACCATCCAAATTTCGTTCTAATTGTTCCATAAATAAGAAAATTGCATTTCTGCGCATGCGCAACACGATTTTTGCGCATGAATTTTGTTTGCTCTTATTAAAGGGACTTACCATAGAAATTTCGTTTAAATTGCTTCAGAAACAAGATCGTTGCGTTTTGCACATATGCAACACAATTTTTTGACTTTGACAATTTTTTTTCTCCGTTTTTTGATAATATAACCCGGCCCAATTTTTTGTAGGTTGTACACAGGAAAATAAGGTCTTCCAAATAATAGAATAAAAATTTTAGGTTGCCATTTGAAAAAAAAAGTTCGATGCCGTTACGGCGCTCCAAATTTTTTTTCAAAAATCCGGCCCGTTATTTTTCTGTTCGGTATGCCTAAAACATATATACAAAATTTCAACAAAATCCGTCGAGCCGTTTTCTCAGAAAATTGCCAACAAACGTATGTACGTACGTACGTACATACAGACGGAAAAAATTTTTATTCTTTAAAAGTTGCTTAAAATGGTCTAAAACGTCGACATTTGATGAAATTTTGAAATGTTCAAAAAACGGCTATCGCAATAGCTACCTAGCACATGCTAGGAAGCTAAAAAACGTTTTACTTTCAAAGACAGCATCTCTGGGCGGCCCCCCTTAAGACAGCGAAATTTGATGGTCGTATGGCCCACTTTCAAGGTACAGCCTATTGCAAAAAATTTCAGGGCTCTAGAAGTAGTTCAAAACGGCAGAAGTGGTTCCGGACGGACAAAACATTTTTTTATTCTTAAAAAAACTGATTATGATTAAAAATAAAAACCATTATGACACGACGTTTCTGGCCACATTCGAAATTAATTAAGGAGAATTCTTATTTATTTATTTATTTATTTTATTTACTAACAAAACGGGACTTGCCCTTTTACATTGTCAGCAGTCAATGCGTAGTCACACGTCGCCATGGTATTTAGGTCCACAATAAGTTCACGTACTAATTTTCGTGCATTTCCTTCGTCAAAGGACTGCAATTGGACGTTTTCCAAATATTCCAGAACCTACAGTTTGAAACCATATACCTACCTACATTTGACAAACACTCATTAATTAATCCAGAATTTATGCACAACGGCTAAGTAAAGTCAATTGTAAGTGTCCGCTTATAACGTAGTTATGTGCCATGTCACGGGCACATCTACTGCCTACTGTTGATCTTAAGACACTTAATTAAATTCGTAAGTATGCAGCCGCTTTAATTAGGATGTTTTACAAATGAGTCATGAGACAACATTTTTTCTGCATATTTATCCCACAATAAACAAGTGGAGTGGCCAGGTGTTTCACCAGTAATTACAATGGCATTACATTTAATTTTACATTTTTTTACTTCTTGAAGACCTTTTTGTGGGAAAATCTACACATTTTAGAATTTTTTATATTCTAATTATAACGGGTTTAGAACACCTGTCCGTGTGTACCCTTGGGCCTAATTAAAATAATTGTGTAAGCATGCACAATTAGATAAAGTGTTGATGTTAACACGAATTTTTTATTCGTACATGATTCTCGATATACAGAAAGGTATTCGGAGCGTGTAAACGAAAAACAAAAGGCACGAGGAGTAGGTAAAAAATCACCTCGCGACAAATTCCAGGCACGATTCACGGTGAGAAACAAAATTGAGCACCGTGTAATTGTAACAAACGCCTGTCGAGCCATTCATTAACCGGTGTGGCCGATAGTTATTTGTTTTATGGTGTTTGTTACTGACTAAACAACGAACTGGTTCTGTTCCTATGTCGTGACACTCGGTATATATTATTAATCCGATACCATAAGAATCGATATGGATAGGTAGACTGTGCTTCATTTCCCTACTGGGTATATGAGATTGCATTGCCTTTAGGTTATAAACTACATCTGTAACAGTCAGTTTTATTCATTTCACGACTTAATTGTTTCACGCGAGGGCCCAATCTAGTTCATGGAGAATGTCTTCATTTTAACATTTGTGTTTTGTAGTGCTTGATGCTTGGCTTGATGAGTAAAAGTATCTAAACCACCAGTTTATGAAGCTGTACCAAAGAGAAATGCCACAGTAAATGAAAGATCACCTGATGGGAGCGAAAATAGTACAACCTGTAGATAATTGAAAGGAAGACTGTATCCGGTAACGATAAACAAAGTGAGTTTGTTACGTTCACTTTGGGCCAACGTGACAAAATTACCTTAGATAAGCACACGGTAAGCTCAGGCAAAGTAGAGGTGGGTCGGGGTGAATATGGGGTTCTTCTATACAAACACAAATATAAGCCAAAAATGGCAGGAAACAGTAAAAGTAATCCGGATAGGCGCCACTTGGTCTTTGATAAATCTAGAGAGAGAGAGGAATACTTACTAAAGGGATAAACAAGGCAGACTAAGAGATCCTTGTTCTCGTCTTACTAAACTCGAAGGAATGCACAATTATGGGGAAAGAATCATAAACAATATTTGATGTCATAAATTCGTCGGGTGGTTTAATACTTTAAAATACAATGACCTCAAAATATCACAAATCTGACACTGTAATTATATAGATCTGGTATGTCAAAATGGGAATTCACAATAATCTCTAATAAAAAAACAAATGAGAAGCCAACGCGAGCCGGGGAAAGTATTTATCCAAAAGCGGCTTCCGCAGAAACAACGGAGCTATAATCATTAAGTGACTTTCAAACAAAGTAATAGTCACAATTCGTTAGTATCAAAACCCAAAATGTAATCAAACGTTAAAAGGGAAAAACGGCGAAAACAACTAAATTTACCTTTGAACTACGGTCGCAACCTGCTGAGCTCAGAGGACGCGAAACTGCAAATCTGTAAACAGACAGACACACAAACAAAAAAATATAAGAAGGGTAATGATTTGCGTTGCACAATATATCGCATAAGCAGTGGTTAACGTAAGACACGAAGAGTTATTCTTATACGTAGAATTGTAATCAATACTAAAAAGAATCAAAAATTCAAGTCATGACAAAACAAAATTTGGTTCGACTAAGGGTTAGTTTTTACAATCGGTATGAGATATCAAAAAGTGACATGAAGTCTTAAGGAAAAAATACTATAAAATGTACAAATAACTGAATCTCTCTTCAATGACCAAGCAATCTTATCAATTCAAATGAAAACAAACTTAACACGAGCAAGTTCTTCAGAGCAAAATACATAACGTTAATTAAAATTGTAGAAATTTACTTCGGACAAAGACAAAACTAGATCACAAACAAAAGTAGTTATGTGAGGGATAAAATACAGTAAACTAACAAATATAAGTATCGGGGTAACACAAATATGATGTCGATCGTAGATGATATTGTCGTTAATCTAAACTTCGGTAACGACAAAACTAAACGTAATCGGTAACTGGGTATACCAATACATACGAACGAGTTACACAGTATCAACTCCACACGTCTTGTTATGTAGGTACTTGCGTTTCGGAGGAATCAATCGTAGGTCAACGAACTTTGCACAATTTGGTCATCAGTTCAAATGGGTTTCGCACGAAATGGCGGTAATTCTTCAGTCGATAAGGTAGAAATATGCAGGGTGTTTTTGACTGGCAATGGCGTCGAAATTTCAATAGAATGCTCTTGCACAATATCGAAAATCGGGAATTCGCGTTTCCACTTAGAAATATCAATGCACAATCAGGAAGCAATTGGTAACTCCAAAATAAGAAGTAAGAAAACTCAGGGAGTACGAAAGTAGCCTGAAATGGATAATTTAAAGTAAAAAGATAATGCGTCATAGATAACATACCGTAAACGGCCTTAAACTAGAACTAGATAAATCCGCAGAAATGCGTCAGCGAAGTTGGAAGTAAGATAATAAGAGAAAAGCTTCACTAATACTTAATACAACCACCACATATAATATCCCAAAAAGGTAGACAGTAATGTCAAGTAAGTGTAATGGCGTGTAGCTCAAGTACAAGTCAAGATCGATTCGAGTTCATCAACACGGTCTGCGCGCGCCGACAGAGAGTGAGAGAAAAACGCGCAACAGAAACCTAGACGGCAAGGTTTTAAAAGAAAGCTATATCACAAATAACGGATTGGGTTACAATGTGAACACCTAGATAGCGTAAGGATTGCTATATAAAGGTAAGAGTTCGCATAATGGTATTCGAGAAGGATTCCACATCGTAATTCAAATGCAAGCCAAAGCCAAGATTAAACGGTAAAGAAAATAACGACACAAGTTTCACAGTACACAAAGGAAAGGACAAGGATGGTATTGAAGTAAATGGTTGCTAGATCACCAATTCGTCTGCAATAAAAGAATATTGATATTACCACAAACACACCACCAACGTCAAGAGTAACAACACGACACTAACAGATATTGCTTCAGCCACGAATACCATCGATACTAACCGCAAAGAAACAGCCCTAAGGCGAGTACCTATAGCGCATTTTCCATGCATTGAGCATTTCCCAAAAGGCCATAGCTATGTGCTCTCTGTTTTTTTAGCATCTAAGGTTAAAACGTCAAAGAAATGTCTACCTAAGCAGCGGCGTAGCGATGGGAGTGCGGGGGGTGCGGCCCGCACCGGGCGGCATGTCTTCAAAGGCGGCAAAAACAAACTCAACAATTCTAAAATTGCCGCCCCTTAAACGCGACTGCGCAATGCGCAAAAACAATTTGCATTTGCAGCCATCGAGTATTATTTCATTTCACATTTCAGTACAGCGTACAGCATCGAATCTGGTACTGGAGCGCGCATCAGTTTAAATCTTTTAGTTGAACGTTACGCTTACGACGGTACCCAGGTAGAAATAAACGTCGGTCTGCTTGGGTATATATAGAGCTCTAGTTGTACCTGGGTACCGAAACGTGCTTGCTTACATGTTTTGAATTTTGTGCGGTTTAAAAATCGACTCGGTTCAAAATGAAGCGTCACAGAGAAAGTGGAGCGGCGTATAAACGAAGAAGAAAAGAAGAAAAAGAGAAAGAAGCAGCTAAATCACGGGATTCGCTGTTGAAATACTTCAATCCTAATCCTAACAGTTCGCAGTCTTCTAGTCAAAGTGTTGAAGTCAATCCGACAGAACTTAGTCCACAACAAGTCATTCAAGACATTCCTGAAGTTGCCGATGTGATACCACAAGCTAGTCCTGAAGAATGCAGTAACGAAGAGAATTCAGAAGAAGAAAGTGCAAACGCTATAGGATCTGAAATCTCGGCTTTGAACGAACTTACTTGTAGCTCAGAATCCCAAGATTTTATCGAAGTTCGCAATTCAGAGGTACTTCAGAAAGTCAATGTCGACGTGGCGGTGGCGGAAACCAGCACTCAGAGCAACGAAATTCCAAACGATGCGGGACTGTGGCCAGAACTAATTTCAGACGAACTGCGCGTGTACTTGGTGAAACAAGGTCCGGATCAAGTGCGCCATATGAACGCAAAATTTGCTTCTCAAACAAGACCAGCATCAGAGAAAAGTAAAGGCCTTGTCAGAAATTTGACAAAAAATTGGTTCTACAAAGTTCTAGAGAACAATCAAAAAACTTTGCGAACCTGGATGCTATATTCACCTGCTAAGGGATCGCTAGTCTGTTTCTGTTGCAGATTGTTTGATAGAAATTCTTCCCAGTCTTCAAGTTTCAGTAAATCTGACGGTTTCAAAAATTGGTTGAAACTAAGCCCAAAAGTTGACGAACATGAAGCAAGTGCCTTGCATTGCAGTACCTTTTTTCAGTGGAAGACTTTGGAAATTGGGCTGATGTCAGGAAAAACTATTGATTTCCAACATCAAGAGTCAGTTTTACGAGAAGAAAAGAAGTGGCGTGACATTCTGAAACGCATACTAGACGTCATCTTGTTTTTGGCGCGACAAAATCTTTCCCTGAGAGGTCACAGAGAAAGTTACAAAGATTCGTGTGTGGAAAACCACGGAAACTTTCTCGAACTTATACACTTCTTATCCAACTATGATTCAGTTCTAGCAGAACATCTAACTCGAGTTAAGCTGTCCAACAAACTTACGCCAACGTACTTATCTCCCGAAATTCAAAACGAGTTTATTAATTTGCTTGGAGACCATGTTCGACGTCGAATAATTAGTGATGTGAATGATGCCAAGTACTTTTCAATTATATTCGATAGTACACCGGACATTTCTCACAAGGACCAAACCAGCCAAGTCATTCGCTACGTCAAGATCAGCGGAACAGAAGTCGAAGTTGTGGAGTCCTTCATTGATTTTATTGAAACGCATGGAAAAACTGCTGAACAAATTTCATCGATGATCTTAAAGAAATTGGAAACTGACGGTTTAGATATTCAGAACTGCCGTGGCCAAGCTTACGATAACGCTGCTACAATGGCCGGTATTCGCAACGGAGTACAATCTAAAATCCGGGAGATTAATCCTAAAGCAACGTTCATTCCTTGCTCGAACCACAGTTTGAATCTTGCTGGCGTTCATGCAGCATCTGTTTCGGCAAGTTCCGTTACTTTTTTCGGAACACTAGAACGTATATTTGTATATTTTTCGTCATCGACACAGCATTGGGATGCTTTACTTCAAGTGACAAAACAAGGTGTAAAGAGGCTCGTTGACACACGCTGGAGTTCTCGACACGACGCTGTTGCAGTGATAAAAAATCATTTTGAAGAAATTCTGGAGGTACTGGAAAAGTTGAACGAAAACCACAATGAAAACGCCAAGACTCGTTCAGATGCTGGAATATTGCTTTGCTCCCTTCGAACTTTTTCGTTTCTCGGGTATCTCAGCCTTTGGAGTACTGTTCTTTCAGAAATAAATGATACTCAAAAATACTTGCAAAGGCAAGGTCTAAACGTTAAAAATTGTGCTGAAAAAGTTGCAGCTTTAAAAATTTACTTAGAGACAAACAGGGAGAAAATCGTTACCAAAGCCGCCGAATATGCAACCTTGATGTGTGAAAAGTTCGATATAAGCGTTACTTCTAAACGTACAAAAAAGAGAAAGCAGATTCACGGAGACGGATCCGAGGGCGTTTCGCTCACCCCAGCACAAGAGCTTAGTCGAGAAATGTACGGAGCTGTTGATAGAATTATTGAAGAAATAACGACTCGATTTCAGCAGTTGGACGAAATTCGACAAAAGTACAGCTTTCTTTTTCCGGAATCGCTGCTGGACCCGCAGAAAGAAGACAATTTTGATTTTGAGCTTCCCGATGATGTGAACAGGGAAGACTTCAATGTAGAGCGTGACCGCCTTCGAAATTTTTGCAACGCTGCTAATCACAAAGTTGAAACGTTTTCAAGTGATCCTTTAAGTCTTTTGAAGTTTATCCAACGTTATCAACTTGAAATTTCCGTGCCGAACATTGTTATCATGCTGAAAATTTTCCTGTCTTTTGCTGTTAGTGTTGCATCGTGTGAAAGGAGTTTTTCTAAGCTGAAGCTTATTAAAAATTACCTTCGTTCGCAAATGTCTTCTTTGCGCTTGCGAAATTTAGCGATTTTGTCAATTGAAAGAAAGTTGACAAATGAAATTGACTTTGACGACCTTATTAAGGAATTCGCAGCAAGAAAAGCCAGAAGAATTAATATTTAGTTTTAAACGTTAACGTTTGTAATTATGATGACTTGTACTGGTACGTAATACTCTAAAGTTTGTTTCTTGAAATAAATAAATATTTATTTCTGACATATTATTTCCGTGCACTATTAATAATTAAATTGTAATGTTACGTAATATAACCTTAAGACAAAATTCCAAGAAATCCTTGAGACGAGGGGCGGCAAAATCTTACTTCCGCACCGGGTCAAAATCACTGACGCTACGCCGCTGTACCTAAGCAATAAAATCGGAATTGCACAAGTCTGCGCATGCGCACACCCAATTTTTACAATATGCGACATGCTTACCTTTCAAAAAACAAGAAAGATAGCATTTCACAGTGTGCGCATGCACACATCTGGTGTTTACAATATGCAATATGTTTGCCTTTTCTACAAGCCTCTTTGGTTAAAATTTCTCAATAACTAAGACAATTTACATTGCGCAGTCTGCTGAGCAAAGTTAAATTTTGACAAATGTTTGCACGTAATCGTCTTCCCATTTGTTTTTTGGTAGGCGAAGACCTACGATGATAATCACATGGTGAGGCTGGCTATGGGGACAATGTCCTCCAAATGTGGAATAGTGCGCTGGCGTAATGTACACCTGAACGCTGGTGTTCTGTCGTTAGGCGACGATCGTCAAACTAGAGAAAAGATGCGCACTGAAAAAGTTATTATTATGCTTTAAAGAAAACTAGGAAATTCCGATTACTTCCCAAGATATGCCAGAAAAACCGAAATTTGCCGATTTCGTTTTTCTTTTTTTCGGATATTATTTGAACAAGTATACAAAAAATAAAAAATAGTAGTTACTTTTTAAGCTCTACAAGGCACCGTTGAGATATTTTAAATACAACGTTTCGTTTTCGTTTGGGCGTTGTGCGCTGTTGCACTATACTATTTTTTTGTATGTTTTTGCATGCGCCGTATCTCGTTGTATTCGTGTACAGTACGTATTTTTTTACGGGCCATATAAAAAATTAAAATTAATTATGGTTTCTCCTAAACGAAACGTTGTATTGAAAATCTCTCAACGGTGCTTTGTAAAGCTTCAAAAGTGGCAAAGAGAAAGTATTTTTTAAACAACATTACCCATAAATAAAAATGAAATCAGTAAATTTCGGTTTTTCTTACATATCTTCGGGAGTAATTGGAATTTTCTGGATTTCCTTAAAGCATTTTACTGTTTAATTGCGCGTCTTTCCTCTAATTTGGGCATAGTCGTATCTTCTATGGTTTCAGAGATCCCCGACATCCTTGTCTTGGACACAGTGTATATTATAAAAATTGAAAACGTTTCAACAGAAAACTGTCATCATGAAAATAAATTAAAATGACTAATTATAAGTGAAAGTTGGCAGCTCTGATTGATCTAAAGAACCTCCCTCGCCAATATACCTACTTATTATGAAGCGTTTACCAGTCTCCAAACTTTCATAACTATCTACCACTTTTACTACTTACCTGCTTAACCAGAAAAATATGACTATTTTGAAGAATATTGAAGCAGATTTATCCCAACGATTCAATTAAGGGCTAAAAGCAGTTCCAGTTCTTCCAGTTGTTTCAACGTTACATTTCATTTCATTGTAATTAGGAATTAGGATTAGTAAGCATTCCACGAACGGTATGTCAGGTGAAATTTTTAAAACCATTTCGCATTTCGCGGATTTTCAAATCAGCTGTACAAAATTCGTTCGTATAAACCACAAAACTTTTCGACTAAATTACTTCCTAGCCTACTTTGCCTGAGATGTGTGCAATAATCCTATTACATAGCAAAAAAAGTGTACTTTCTACAGTAGGTATATATCGGTACTGAGATCCCAAGCTCTCTACTACACGAACAGACCAACGAAATTCGCACAGCATTTTTTTCATAAAAAGAAAGCAATTATTATTTGCAAGTGACCAGAAAATCCTGTAATACCTAATGCTAGTATGCCCATTAACTTTTTTAGTGGCGCTGTATAAAATTAATAAAAATCCCCACTTCAGAAAACTATTCCGGAGAAAAGAATGATTAGGAAACCCCTTCTCCACATTTAGAGTCAAACTAACTCGAGAATGACGCATTATATTAACCATCATCAAGCTTATATTCCTATCTGCATACGAGGGGATGTTGTATCCTAGCAACCTGGCGTCTCTTAGCGACGCAAGTGATCAATATCGCCTCTTTGGGACTGAAAATGGAGGAATATTAACATAAATGCACCCCTATTTTGTGAATCCCACCTCCCTTTTAAAGCTATTGGCGCGACTTAATGCTTCAATAATTATCGGCGGCGATTACAATGAAAACAAATGAGTCGGGCGAAATTAATTTCGAAATGTTTACTGTGGTAATGGATTTGATGGGGAATTCGTATATGGGGAAAATTTAGAAACGTACCTAACATACGCATTAAGAAGGAATTCCATATACTAAGTTCACATGCTTTTCTCGCGTTTAAGACCGTCTCATAGTCGATATTTAAATGATGGTTTGCGTATAAACATCGGTATTTTTTGCGGGGGTACAATAAAATAGCTATTAATTAATCACATTTGAGGTAAATATGTATATAAATAAATCAGAAACATACATATAAATCCTTGAACCTTGCTTGAATTTTTAAATCCAAACCAAAGTCAATAAATTTTTAAATTTGCAACTTATATTTAATATCAGAAATTTAAACATTTCCTTCAATGGAAGATTTGTACGTTAAATTTTCTACAAATTCGTTTTTTACATTATATCATAAGACTTGAGGACATTCAACATTTACTGTAACAGCTTACACAGAACTAAATAGAACTAACCCTGGACTACTATTGTATCGTTCATGGAAGTAGTTGTTCTTAACATCTAGGTACAATTGGATAGTATAATAGAGACGTTACCAGATGTCTTCTGTCAAGAAAATGTATTTGGAAACTCGCCGATAATGCATTCTTCAAGTAATGATTACTTCAAAACGAAATTTCTTTCCTGATTACAAAGGGTGGTTATTTCCGCTTGTAAGTGGAAATTTACTACTCAGTAAGCACTAGAACCAAATTGCGGTTATAATTACCGTCTCTAACAATAAGGTCAATCGAACTGAATTTATTATGGTAAAAATCGACTATTTTTAGTTATAATTTCTCCACTTGAAAGGGTTTTATTAAATCTCGCACGATTTATTTACTGCGTCATGCATACATAAATAAATACATAAATACGACGAAAAGTTGTTTATCCCGTATTGATGAATGCGTTCGGTCGGCGCATTCACTTCCGTATTCAAATTTCCGTATTTGTTTAAGTATACAACTCTTAAAGAATTTAAGTTACTTGTACAGTTTAATTTATAATAGGTACCAATCCTTTGTAGGTACACAGTGCGTAACTCTGAACATACAAATTTCTTGCATACATATATAACTCCTATGTTCAATCGTAAAATATACATTTCAATGTTTCGCAGATTTAACTTATATCAACTGTAAAACTGTCTTCGAAGTGATTTTAGGAATTCTAGGAACGTGGACAAGAAATAATTTTTTTCGCTTTGTTCTGATTTTTAGAAGCTTGTACAGAATTTCGGAATTTATTCATTACAATCTGTAAGTACTCGTTGTCTTAACTCTTCTGCGTCCCCTGCAATGTATGTATAAATTTTAAATTTCGGGTAACCCTAACGAAAGAAGTCATTTGGTGACAAATCAGCTGATCGCGGAGGCAACGTATTTCACCACCAGGCATTTCTTGCCTATGTTTGTAACGATTTATTTTTTCCATTATGTAGAACTCATAATTATTGTTTTATGGTATTTTTATTTGTCGGAGAACCCCCGTAACTTCTAAAGTTTTTTATAGGGAGCACCACTTGTCGATGCATATTATTCGCGTAAGCGCGCGCTGGTCGCAAGACGTTGTTTGCATCCTTTCCGGAATGTATTCTCTTTCAACAAGCATGTGAAGCGGAATTAGCGGATTATTTAATAGCGTCTTTAGTATTTGACCTTTTTCGTTGTACTCAGTTCATTGTTACTTGGAAGCGAGCTGAGGCACTGATCTCCATTTTTTTTTAGAATATATTACCCCATTTACTAATTCCTGAGCATTTCAAGAATGTCCGCTGTACACGAATATCAACGTGAGTCAATCGTCGCTGCGTATTAGAGTTTTACGAAACAACCCTCTTATTATTTTGAGGTTTGATCATTCCTTGTGATTCGGTTGCACTTTACATATGATTGTTTGCAGAGTTTTTGTTTCCTGTTGTATCTTTGGTTTTATCTTTTTGTCGGGATTTCTACACTAAATTCTTAAGTACGAGGGTAATCTCAAATCCAAGTTAAAACGACGCCTAAAATCAAGTTTGACACCAGTTCCTTATATTACATTATCGATCCACTTGGGCGATCAGAAATTAGGGCACTGAGTCAATCGAAATAACCGGAAAAATGGAATATAGGTAATGCATAACATCCAGTTTTGACAAATTTTGTACTCGTAATATTACAGCTACGAAGCCGTGCGTCCATCCCACACGAATCCCCGCCGGAAAATATACACTTCAACGTCACCATGTTAGATAGCGCATGGTTGGTTGCCTAAATGGCAGTAAGCTCCCGATTATCATTACTTTAGTCGGTGGTCGTATATTGTGATATAACCAAAAATTAGTATTTTGATGACTGTAATAGGGTGTCACGAAGAATATGACGCAACGAATAGGAGACGAAGTACCATCCAACTATACATCAATAATAATGTGTTAAGCTTTTGCTAAACCCTGTACACATATTCTTCAACAACAGTACAACGAGAAAATTTGAAATCCGCTCAAAAAATATTGAAATACTAGTAGGTACTACCATGTGGCGTCCCCTACTAAATGAACAAATCGGTATTTTTTAGAAAATATTCACATCACAGACGTTACCCAAAAAATATTGAACTTTCAACATCACAAAACAAGCAAGGTTTATAGCAATTTTCCGGTGAAAGTTATGGCT